TCGGATGCTGAGGACGAAGTAGACGGCAAAGGTGATGGAGATAACGGCGATATCTCTGTCGGTAGCGGTGAGAGATGGGTTGGTGACTCTGAAACTGAAAATGAATTTTTAGAATTTATGTACATAGATTAAGATAAAATGTAATAAATAGTTTTGCACCAAAAACCAAGAATATGAATGGCTTCCATCGACACTTACGTTCAAAACTTTCTTCAATTAGAGCCTCTACATTATTAATTTAGATGATGCAGGAAAGCCGCCTTTTGTTCCCATAGCTGCCTTGGCCGGTCTATGAAAAATACGTACAAATAAGTATTTTATTCTTTCTTGAAAGGATTAAAGTTACCTGTATTTCGCCGTCAGATTGTCAATCTTCGTTTTAACTAATGAGGAGTTGACATCATAGCCCTGCATGTGCAATTCAGCCGCCATCTCTTAGTAAACATGGCCGTTTTTCCTGGGCCCCCTCAAATCATCCACTTTTTGCTGCCACAACTCCACAAACGCCTCCTGCTGCGGTGCATGGACATCTCGTTCACTTCATTTTTTAAATAAATTTTTCTTAATTCTTTACTTAAAATTACAAAGTATATTTAATGAACCGAAATGAAGGAAACTCCGGCACAAATATCACAATATATGTATGTATACGCAAAACAGAATGTAAACAAATATGTATACGCAAACAAGCGATGCTGCCACTCTTTTTCACTACAGCTTCTTCGAATCGTGGTGTTTTTTCGAAGATTACAGAGTTGCACGCGGCATTTAGATTCTTAAAGCCAAAAATATATAGCATTTAGTTGCATTTAGGTCGCGAATTTTGTATGGGTAAATGTACATTTAGAGCTAAATGTGCTAAATGCAGCTTCAACGTTCAGCATAAACGGCCAATAATGTACAAGCATACATACACTCATCTGCTAGACCAGGCCTTCCCAAACTTTTTTCACCCCGGCACCCTTGTGTAAAAGTAAGAGTCACTATCTAGTACTTTTAATGCAATCTTGCCAACAGCATTGTTTTCTGCGTACACTTACATCCAGAACTCTCTTCGCTCCCTTCGTAGTACTTTATATTCAAAGGGCTGTGTTCACTGATGGTCAAACGGTTTTCAAAAGCTTAATTTGTCTTCCCAGTAGGTTTATTTTTCGGGTCACATGAAAACGGGTTTGTTATCCAGCTATAGACATCCTAGGAGTCAATGTTGAGAAAATATTCGACAGTGGTTTTTTCTAAACCTTCCAAGTTAACGCTGGTAATGCGCGTTAACACTAAGAAAACAACTTCTATCAATTTTCTTAGCGTTAACTTCGAAGTTACATAAATTTTTCTGATTTACCTTGTTTATTTATGGGGTTTTAATGCAATTGCTAGAAATTCTAAAATATGTATACAAGTCACCAATAAAAAAAAAAATCTCGACGTGCTAGTAAAATCCAAAGAAGTATTTTAATTTCACAGGCCTCTGTTATCTTCGCAGCGTCATCCAATACGGGTTTTAAATCTAGTGGCGACATCTTCCTAGTCGCCAGGGATCATACAGTGACTTCTCGTGGCGTTTTCTGCCTATTGCTTCATCCTAGAGATCGCTCCTTTTGTTTTTCCAACCACTGCGGCTGCTCCATCACTGCAAATATCCGCACACTTGCTCCATTTCAAACTACTTTTCTGTAAAATTTGTCGATAGCTTTAAACATTTCATTGCTAGTGGTGTAAGTCTCAATTACTTCGCTCATCAAAAATTCTTCCTCGTGTTGATTCGCTCTTTCACAAGTTCTGAACACATTGAAAACGACAATCTACGGGTCACAGCTTCCAATTTGTTATTTTCATTATCTAAACGCTTTGTCGATGACGACATGATTTTTTTGAATGTGGCAGCGACATCATGAGTTTGACATAAAAAAAGAGGAAGAACCTTATCTGTCGCTGGAAAAATAGAAACAAATCTAATCTGGTCACAACCACAGTCGTCGCGTAGCTCGGTCGTCGCCAAAATAATTATCTACATAAGCGTACGTGTACCACAGCTGTGGTCCGTAGCTCGTCGTTTTCATGGTGTTCGGGCTAAGACTGTGATTATGAAGTTCCAAAGAATAAGTAACATATATACGTGCGCGAAGCTGCTGCGCTTCTTACGAGAACAGCCCAGCCAGCAAAAAATCAGAAAATTAATCCGAAAACAGTCAACGAGGAAGAAAACTGGATGAAACGCGTATTAGGCCTACAAAAGCACCGAAAATGGTTGTGAAAAGGGTACGTTTTCGGCTATTTTTCTCAATACTTTCTGATTCAGTTTTTCGTTGACAAAAAATTCTGGGGAACTACGCTTACACTACACAAGCAGCTTGACAAGCCAAACGAAATATCGCTTTGCAGCAACCCATTTGTGTTGAGTATGGGGTTTGACGAGCCGCTGAGGGCAATTTTAATAAAAATTAAAATTTTTTCATTTTCTGAATTTGAGAATTTGCCCGCACCACTACTATACTCTACCCACTTAGGGGAAGTCGGTGCTAGACGTTATTGAATGAATGAATATTTTTTATGAAGCGAGGAAATAATAGTTCAACCAAAATTTATTAGGGCAGAAACACCGGAGGGAACACTTTTACAACCTACTGAATGGCAGCAGCGCTGAAAGTAGTGAAGAAGACGAACCCGAGTCCCCAGTCGATGATGATGGAGTAGCTGTCCCGCAGTCTGACTATGACGAGGTACAAATAGCGATTACGCGGCTGAAAAACAACAAAACTGCTGAAGCTGACGGCCTGCCAGCCGAGCTATTAAAGTACGGCGGCGAGGAGCTGATGAGAATATGGTCAGATGAACGCATGCCCGACGACTGGAATTTAAGTGTGCTCTGCCCAATCCACAAGAAAGGCGACCCCGCCATACGCGCCAACTACCGTGGAATCAGCCTAATAAGCATAGGTTATAAGGTCGTATCGAGTGTATTGTGCGAAAGGCTGAAACCCATCGTCAACGAGCTGATTGGACCTTATCACTGTGGCTTTAGGCCTGGAAAATCCACCATAGATCAGATATTTACAATACGCCAAATCTTGGAAAAGACCCGCGAGAATAGGATCGACACACACCATCTATTTGTCGATTTCAAAGCCGCTTTCGACAGCACGAAGATAAGTTGCCTTTATGCCGCGATGTCTGAATTTGGTATCCCCGCGAAACTAATACGGCTCTGTAAAATGACGTTCGGCAATACCACCAGCTCCGTCACAATAGGGAAGGACCTCTCCGAGCCGTTTGGTACCAAACGAGGTTTGAGACAAGGGGACTGCCTTTCGTGTGATTTCTTTAATCTGATATTAGAGAAGATAATAAGAGCCCCAGAACTAAACCGCTCAGACACAACACTTTACAAGAGCGCACAATTGCTGGCGTATGCCGAGGACATTGATATTATCGGTAACAAGTAAGAAAGTCTAAGTTCGGGCGGAGCCGAACATTAAATACCCGGCGCAAGTATTAAATATATGTTTTCCACCTTTCCGAAAGCTACCGCTACATGATAAGCCGGGGTGTATACATTTTAAGTAAATTAGTGTCCTTAAATTTCGAAATATTGAAATTTCAAGCATATCTCAAATTTACCGTTATATGAAAAGCGGCCTCAATTTTAGTCCGATTTCAACAATTTTCAACGGTTTGCTTTTATGTGGCAAGCACAATAACCATACCGAGCTTGGTACAAATTGCTAGAACGGTTAGCGAGATACACATATGTGATCCCAAGTGGGCGGTGCTACGCCCATTTTCCAAAATTTTGTCATAAACGTATTTCTTGGTAAAGAATTGTTGCAATCATCAATTTTGAATAAATTAGCGTCAATATTTACTGATTTATCGAAGATTTTGTATTTCTCGAAATTACCGTTATATGGTATGTGGGCGTGGTTATTGTCCGATTTTAGAAATTTTCGGCCAGTTGGTATGCTGTACCAGGATCAATAACTGTACCAAGTTTGGAAGAAATTGGTGTAGCGGTTACCAAGATATACACATGTAACCATAAGTGGGCGTGGCTACGCCCATTTGCCAAAATTTTGTAATATTCTTATTTTTCGTCTAAAACTCATGGCAAATATCAATTTTGAGTGAATTATCTTCAGTAGTTACTAAAATATCGCAGTTTTCGTTTTTCTGAAAATTACCGTTATATGGGAGGTAGGCGTGGTTATTGTCCGATTTTTAAAATTTTCAGCCATTTAGTATGCTGTACTAAGGCCAACAACTGTGCCAAGTTTGGAAGAAATTGGTGCAGCGGTTACCAAGATATACACATGTAACCATAAGTGGGCGTGGCTACGCCCATTTTCCAAAAATTTATAATATTCGTGTTTTCCGTGTGAAACTCATTGTAAGTATAAATTTTGAGTGAATTGTCTTCAGTAGTTACTAAAATATCGCAGTTTTCGTATTTCTTAAAATTACCGTTATATGGGAGGTAGGCGTGGTTATTATCCCATTTCGCCCATTTTCAATACCATCCGTCCCACGCCCAAAAGAAGTTCACGTACCAAGTTTCGTTAAGATATCTCAATTTTTACTCGAGTTATCGTGTGCACAGACGGACGGACGGACGGACGGACAGACAGTCACCGCTTAATCGATTTCTCTTTTCATTCTGATCATTTATGTATACATTTGTCTATATCTATCTCGATTCGTTTTGCCTGTTACAAACAACCGTTATGTGAACAAAGTTATAATACCCTTGTGCACAAGTGCGCTCGGGTATAAAAATAAGAGCTGCGTCTGTTCTGCCTTCTCGGGATTGGATAGAGAAGCAAAGCGAATGGGTCTGGTGGTGAACGAGGACAAAACGAAGTATCTCCAGTCATCACACAAACAGTTAGAGCATACGCGTCTTGGCGCCCACGTCACTGTTGACAGTTACAAGTTTGAAAAAGTAGACGACTTCGTTTATTTGGGAACCAGCATTAACACCAATAATAATATCAGCCTTGAAATTAAAAAAAAATTATTATTATTTTATTTATGACAGATGTACGGTAATATATATAGTCTTTTCATTGCACAAATTTAACATTTAAATTACAGATCTTAAACTTATTTTAGAAATCCAACGGAGAATCACTCTTGCCAACAAGTGCTACTTTGGGCTGAGTAGGCAATTGATAAGTAAAGTCCTCTCTCTCCTCGTACAAAGATCACACTCTATAAATCACTCATCATGCCTGTGCTGGTGTATGGCGCGGAGGCATGGACAATGAAAGCATCTGATGAGGCGGCTCTTGGAGTTTTCGAGAGAAAGATTCTGCGAAAGATTTACGGACCTTTACGCGTTGGTGATGGCGAATATCGCAGACGATTTAACGATGAGGTTTATCACGATATAGTGCAGCGAATTAAAATTCAGCGGCTCCGCTGGCTTGGCCATGCCGTTTGAATGGACAGAAACGCCCCTGCTCTGAAAATATTCAACGCGGGCCGCGATGCTGGTAACAGAGGAAGAGGAAGGCCTCCTCTGCGTTGGAAAGACCAGGTGGAGAAGGACTTGGCTTCACTTGGCATTTCCAATTGGCGTCAGTTAGCACAGAAGAGAAATGACTGGCGTGCTGTTTTGGACTCGGCCAAAATTGCTTAGGCGGTTACAGCGCCAATAAAGAAGAAGAGAGAAATCTAAACTAAAAAAAATATTAAAAAAAAAATAAATAAAAACTTAAATCAAAAAAGAAAAAAAGCTCCGCTGCTCGACGACTCGGGCTCGAACTCGGATCTCCCAATTGGCAGTATAGTGATTTGCTCACTCGGCCATCGCAACTGCTGGGGCAGCATGAGCAAAACGGCATACATAAATGTCTATTGCTTCCTTTGCACTACCTGATTTAGAATCAGCATTTGAAGGTGGCAACGATATTTTCGAGTTCACTCGAATTCAGCGTTAACAATTTTTTTCGTATTCATAGCAAGCATTTGAAGTCGTACGATGAATTCCGTGATAGCCCTGATTACTAGATTTCTAAAATAATAAAAACATATTCACTCACACATTTTAATTTCCGCTACTAATTTTACTTGCATTCTTTACCTTTTCATTTGAACAGGAAGTCCCAATTGATACACCGAATGGGAACCTTTTAATCGATGGGCAAACAGAATTGGACCTCAAGTGTTCCACGACCGATCCGGTGGTCATCGACATCATCAATGTAATCAACTGCAGTAATTTGCAACGGCAATATAATATAGACCAGTATGTATGTGAACGTTTAATTTTTATCAGATGTGAAGGTGGAAGTGTATAAATTTGGCAATACGGTGCTGCTGGATTAGCTTAAAAATTATAACACGGTGCTACAAAAAAATAGTTGTATGTACTTTTCATGCCCTGTAGTAGAGGTGGTAGAACAGGTCTAAATAAATGTTGGCATTAGCAGAATTTCAAGTATACGCCCAAAATCTGAACTTATGATCAAAAAACTTAATATCGGGATGTTGTGTAAAAACACCGGTCATAAATTGGACAGTTTTCAACGGATTCTCATAATTCTACGTTCGTTGAAAAGAGGAAGGTTGTGGCTTTGCACTGCTTTTAGGAAATTTAAGTTAAGTTGATAACCAATGACTCCGTGAACAAAAAACTTGTGAAACATTTTCATATATATCTGTGTTCGTATGGAAAAGTAGCTTATGTCGAAAGGCCGGCTTTAGTATAATGCGGCATTCCCTTTATTTTTTAAACGACAAGGAATTTTTTGATGAGACTTAAACAGAATATTGACTTGCTAGCATCGGAACTACTTCTTACACGTTTGTTTGCTAAAAGTTGTTTAACGGCTTAGCGCCCGTAAGTCATTCGCATCGTATGCTGCGAATGCCGATTTATACTAAAGCCAGCCTTTCGACATAAGCTACTTTTCCATACGAACACAGATATATTTGTTAATTTTTTTGATATATGTTTTATTTAATTTTTTTTACGCTAATAACAAACGTCTCGCGGCTTTCGGTAACGGGTTTTCCTTTCTTCTCCTGTTGTACTTCTGACCCAGGTTTCTACCCTACTAAGTGTTTTAAACGATCAAATCTTCTTCGGACAAGTTCTTTTTCTTCCATAAATTAAACCAGAGAATGAGTTCAAAGAATGAGATAAAGTTATTCCCCGATTCCCCCGAGAAGTTCAAATTCCACCAAAATCGGGGCATTCTCCCCCGGTTGGCATTACTGATCAGTATATCAACGAAGCGCGTTTGTTTCATCATACAAATGTATATCCATACAAATATATGTATGTACGAATGCATGTGGGTGCACGAAGCACGTTTGCTTCATTCATATATTCTTACTTCGGTAGCGGCAGAGCTGAAATGCAAAATGAATTCATACATATAAATTAAGGTACAAACAAACATACATACACTAGGTTAGGCTGAGATGGCTAGAGAGAGTGACTCCCCCTTACTCTTAGGCCAAGGAAAGGCCCATTGTGATACCATATGCAACCTATATCCCCTATGATGTTGCGGCGCTTACTCCGCCTTGTAGAGGGCTTACCGAACGTCTTTAGCCGACCTGTAAGAATTCCCGTGAGAATAGATGCCTCGGTCCGTTTTAACCCTGAGAGTGCAGACGTGCGTTTTTTTATCACAGGAAGGCCATGTAAGCCTAGCCGTTCCACAGAAGGAGAGGTTCCTCCAGCGTTCGTTTGCTGCTTGTATGGTGCTATTCCTTGCATGTAGTTTGAAAGTGGCCATTGGTATACCTACCGTGTCCTTCCCCGGAAGGGAGGGGGTGGTCGTACCATTCCTCGCCACTTCGTCAGCTTTGCAGTTGCCCTCAATATCTCGGTGTCCAGGCACCCATATGAGTTGTATTCTATAATGCTGGGCCATCCTGTTTAGGAATCTGCGGCATTCAGTTAGGGACTTTGTGTTGTCTACGCATGTGTCTAGAGCTTTCAAGGCTGCTTGACTGTCAGAGAAGATAAATACCTGTTTTTTTCTCCTTGGGTGTTGTTACTAGGTGCCGAGTGGCCTCCTGAATAGCCAGCACCTTCGGCTGGTATACACTGCAGTGGTAGGGAATATGTTTCCAGTTCCAGCTCCGGGGAGAAGACTCCTCCCCTGACCTTCCGTCGAGCTTGGAGCCATCAGTGTAAATGTTTATAGCGTTGCGTATATGGTGAGGCCTAGTATCCCAGTCCTTTCGAGTTGGTATGGTAATTATATAGTTTTTAGTGAAGGTGTTTGATGGCATGCAGTAGTCATTACTTGCAGGTATCGGTATGTGCGCCCTTGTCCCTAGGATTATCGAATGGCCTGATGGACCATGAGTCCAGAAGCCTGCCTCTCTAAGTATTAAGGCTGCAATAGTGGCTATTTCCCGAGCTAGTACATCAAGCGGGGCAGATGTAGAATCGCGTTAAGAGCTTCAGTCGGGGAGGAACAAACAGCTCCACTTATACATAGCTCCGCACTCCTTTGTACCTTTTGAAGTTGCCTGAGCGCCGTTGTCTTATCAAGTGTAGGCCACCATACTAGGGCTCCGTAAAGCAGAATCGGTCGAACAATAGCAGTGTAGATCCAGTGAACTATCTTAGGTGAGAAGCCCCACGATACACCGATCGCCTTTTAACATGTGAAGAGCGTTGATACGTTCCATTGTGTTGTCATTCCAGAGCAGTTTGCTCTCAAGAATTCCTCCAAGATATTTGGCAGTACGCTTAAATTCCAGGCTTGAGCCATCGAGTTTGGGGGGGTGTAAGAGCCGGTTCTAGTGATTGCTCAATTTTTGAGACTAGCGAGTGGAGGGCAGTCTCCGTGGATTTGCTCTTGCTGTAGGCATGTTGCGCGTTAGATAACAGAGTAGGGTTAATCGATTGTGTTATGTAAGTCTCCAGAAGTCTTTCCAGAGTCTTAAGTAGAAAGGATGAAAGGGTGATAGGCCTAAAATCGCCAGGTTTAGCATGAGAGGCTCTGCCCGCTTTCGGTGTGAAGACTACCTTGACTTCTGTCCAGGCTCCAGGAATGTTGCCGACTTTTATGCAGTTGGTAAAGATGGTATTTAGCCATGGCCTTGTACGTTCCATGGTGTATTGTAGCTGGGCCGGATATATTACATCCGGCCTTGGCGTTTTATAGGGCTTGAAGTTAGATATGGTCCAACAGATTTTCCTGTCGCTTATAATTTCGTTGATGAGCTGTGGTGCTACACCCTCTGCTGATTCTGGATCATACAACGTGTGATCGTTGCTTTCTGGGAAGTGATTATCTAAGATTAATTTAATGGTTTCGGAAATTGAGTCGGTCCAGGACCCATCATCCTTTTGAATATAGCTAGCTGCTGTAGGTGATTTTGCGAGTACCTTACGGAGTCTAGAGGCTTCGGATGTAGCCTCTATCCCACTACAAAAATCACTCCACGAGGTGCGTGTTGCTTTCCTAATGGTTTTCTTGTATATGTTAAGTGGCAATTTATATTGTGCCCAAGATTACTCTAGGGCGTCGTGCTTAGCAGTATTGAATGCTTTCCTACATTATATGCGAAGTTTATTTAGATCGGAGGACCACCAGAGAGGGTTGTACGCCTCCCTAGTTTTCCTCGTGGGTCATGCCTTGATAAGTGCTGTCTCGCAACTCTCAGCAAAAAAGCAAACTAGTAGATCAAGTTCCTCCCTACTTTCTGGTATATTGAATGGTTCAGAAGGTAGGTTCTTATATACAAGTTTTTTGTAATAGCCCCAATTAAATTTCTGGACATTTCGTATCTCTTTAGAGACGGGAGGCGAGTCTTATATGCTAAATTCTATGAACCTGTGGTCTGAGAAAGAGTGTTCTTTCAGGACCTTCCACGCAGAGATCTGATTACAGTAAGTTTCACTGACGAGGGTGATGTCAAGAACCTCCCTGCGATTGGTTGTGGGAAAGGTAGGGTCACTTCCATTGTTGCAAATAGACAGATTTGTGCTTAGCAAATATTTATAAAGTGACTTACCTAGTCCCATTGGTAATGATGGGCATTTGCGTCCCCTCCCAGCAGTAGCATCGTGTCCATCGGGTTTGTGTTCTTCACCAACTCCATTAGTGCTGTGAGTGGGAAAGGGCCCTGATCGTCATGTGTCAGGTGAAAAGAGGCCAGCCTGTACTTCCTACGCCCTATTCTAGGCTGACCGTGGTGATATCTTCAGTGCTAAATTGCGGTAGGATAAAAGAGTTTATATTAGTTTTGATTAAAATGCAGGTGCGAGGTTTTCCCTTACCCTGAACACTGAATCACAGATCCTATTACCAGTGATCCATGGCTCTTGTACCAAGCGATATCAACTTCACCTGAAGACAGCTGAAGTAGGAGTGCAGCAGATGCTGCTTTCCTGTGATGGGTATTGGTCTGTAGTACCTTCATCAAGCGAATCTCGCCTTTCCACCACGGCCACGTTGGCTTCGTCGCCGCTGAGAAACTCACGCTCAGTATACAGCCTCCATAAGGCTTCACCTACTTCGGAGCTGGATGAGGCGTACCCGCTCAGTTCCTCAGTTGCTTGGTCGTCAACTTCAATCTCATTGTCGCTGGGTGGCTCGTCTGTCTCCACACAAGCTGCAAGGTTTACTAGGGCTTCGGTGTCAGTTTTGTAAACTTTTAACGTAGTCTTCCCGAAGTCATAGCACACCCTATAGTCGCTTTTTGCGAGTGCCTCCAGACTCTCGTCGTTTAGTACCAGGACTACCCGCATTGTTGCTCGCTCAGTTGGCTCCGTGTTAACAACCCTCCAGCTGTGTGTAGGGAAGCTGGGATTAAATTCTTGCAGCATTTCTAGAATATCCGAAGGTTCCGACGACGTAACGGGTACCCAGGCTCTCGCTCTGGGACGCGATACACTTCACCCGGGCCCCGGATACACCTCACCTACTCTGATGATCGCAGCTTTGTATAGCTCTACCAATCTGCTACATCACAGGCTATGAGTTTTACGTTCCCCTGGAACCAGCCAGCATTCGTGCATGACGGAGGTGGTCCAGGGTTCTCCCTCTTAACCTGCAAGGAAACTTTCGCCAAAGCGGCTTCGACCCACCTCCATTGGTTCCTCGGGATCCTGCCTCTTTCTTTACTTTCGTCCATTACGCAAATAACCTTCCGGTCCGGTGGATGGCCTTCGCAGGGACAGTTCGGACGAAGTCCTTGGCCCTATTGCAGGTCACCATGTTCCTGGGTCCACCCCGAGTGGGCTGGCCAGACGCTGTGTGAGTGGTAGGCCCACTACAGGAAGGCCCAGGATTTCCGGTGCTTGTAGTGCAGGCCTCCCGTCCAGTTCTACTTTTGGGCGTAGCATTGGCCTTTGGACTTCTCGGACCAGGGGGTGCTTTAGTCTTACTGCTGATGGGTGCGGATGCACCTGATATTTGCTTCCGCATAGGGCTACTATGGCTAGGCCCGGTAGTACTGTGGCTTTGCTTGGTGCGTAGTTTGTGACTCCTTTCGGCCTTTGTTTGGGAGCGTCGGACTCCCGTACTGGAGTTGAAGGGGAACGTCCGCCTGGGCAGAGATCCGCTGTACCCGGAGCCAACTAGCATTGGCTCCGAAGGTCGCCCGGTATCCGGAGCACTCCGTTCGCGACTGGGCTTGGTGAAGGGCCCCCAGCCAGGCTGATCTCAGGAACCTTGATCCGGCCCTGCAAAAAGAGGGAGGGGAGAACTGGCAAGGAATTTGGTCAGAAAGGGAAGCATAGGTGTAGGGATTTAGGAGGGGTCGCCGCTCGAATGAGCGGCCAGGGCGTTACCAGGTGTCACCACGGGGAGGTCCCTTATACTAGGGCGTGCTAATGGCAATGCTATTGAATACCTATGAGTCGACGCTTTGGAATGTCGCGTGTGTGCAAGTCGATCACCATCATCAAAGACACATACACTAACCAGAATATGGTTCCGTACAGTGTTTTCTTTATTTTTAATAGAAATATAGTTCATTCTGCATCAAATGACATATAAATTAATGAAAAGTAAGGACGATATAGGAGAACTCGAGCGTCATTTCCATTTTACGAACTTTTTGAAATACATCGAAAAGCAATGGTTAACGAAGGTAAGCACTTCTAAAGAAAACTAGTATAAGAATAGCACTTCTAAAGAAAACTAAATAGTATAAGTCTTACGTAAAATTTGTCAATGTTTTTTTTTTTTTTTTGTTTTTTAATAATATCAATATAATATAATATTGGACCAGATGGAATATTAGTTTTTGGAACACCGACACGAACGACATCTGCCATCGAAGGATATAATGGAGCGCTGGCCACAATGATACCCAAACAGGGAAACTTGTTTAAAATTGTCAAAATTTTACAAACAGAGGAGTATACAAGTTCCGAGATTTCGAATTGCTGGCTAATAGTGGTAGAGCTTTGGCGAAAAAAAAGGAAATTTGTAGAAAAAGCAGAACTGATTGCAAAAGACAACAAAGAGCTACGTTCTGGAACCATAACAGCTACTGCATTCATAAATCGATTGGTGTTTCCAAAAAACAGTATTGTTAATGAAATGGGGCCAGAAGAGGATATTTTTGAAGATCACTCGTACCTTGAAGAAGATGAAGAGGAGGAGGAAGAAGAAGATACATATTGCGTCGAAGCCATCAGAAATACCGCGCTCTCAAATATGCTGATCTTGCAAACATCTAAAAACATGCAATGCTTGTGTTCTGAAACTGCAAGTGTAAATAGTGCCGAAGAACTTGAAAACTTTAATTGCCCTATTTGTCGTGAGAAAGTTAACGACACGATGCAGGTTTTTTGTAAATGCATATTTCATATATTTGTTTATTTTTTTTTTACATCTTATTATGTATAATATACATAAATTTATAACTTATTATTTACGTGTTTGCTTATGTATAAATTTACATATACTAAATAAATAGCATTTGAAAATTTGACAGTTATTTAATTTTTTTTGGGACTTGTTGTTTCGGTATGACATAACTCCCAAATGTTGGGACTTATTTAATTTCTTCTTTTGGAGTTATTTCATTTCTTTGAGTTAGGTGTGGTTTAATTTTTATTGGAACTTATTTCATTGGGTGTTATTTCATTGGGACTTAATTCATTTGGGAGTTATTTCACTGTACCACCGAACGCCACTATAGCTGCTTTTCAAGAATGTCTGCTATCTGATAGAAGCATGGCTATTAATTTCCTTTAAACCCAAAGTAATTAGCATTTCATTAGGACAGTTGCTTAACTTTGTCCTGTTGATCAAAAATTGTATGGCGGCACGAATCTCCGTTTTGTCAACACCCAACAAACATTTCATTGTCACCGGCACTGAGGTATGATATTCCGATATGTTCTAGAATTAGAAAATATAAACAGATTTTTTTAGTTTTTATGGGTTTACTTCGATATAATGCACTATTTGCCTTTTCTCAAAAAAAGGACCAGCTTTTTTTGATGAAATTCGAAGGCGATGTTGGGGGAGGGTTCCTTTAACCTAATATGTATATCAGTTTACCAAATCAATAACTAATAATAGTACTTGTTGTTCGGCTCATACATACGGTGGCCAGATTTCTGTGGACAAAAATCGGGACATTTGTAATGCACCGAATCCGAACATACAATTTTGTTTTTAGAATAAAAAGACATGACATCTTTTTAACACGGTTTTATTTAAAAGAAAACAAAGAGGAACAAACTTGAAAATCTATATCGCAAAATCTAATTAAAAAACTCATCATTTTGATGAAACTTTGTCGAACGCTTTGTACAACCTTCGACGACCTTTGCATGGTCTTTGATAAATAACGAGCTACACTTTCATAAAAAATAATAAACATTAAATATTTATTTTTTTTGCTACTGTATCTACAGCTTATACTTTTCATATCCATGAATTTGTTGAGGGAAGTAGTATTATTTTTTATAATTTCACTAAATTCAAGTTAAAACCTTTTCATGAAAAAACACAACTTAACAAATAATTATAAAAACCTTTAAAAAAAATCAGCCAAGAGTGATATAGACTGAAATATACGGAGAGTACCTGTTTCACAGAATAAAATATAACCAAAGATCATAGAAAGTAAGGATGATGGCTATATTTATGGTCCCCTTCTAATCAATGTTCTCAGTGAGTAATCGACTACCGAACAGTTCAGACGTGCTTACTGTGCCTTTTTGAGATTTTCATTACTACTACTGTAGTGTCACCGTGCGTGTTAATCTCTCAGTCCGTTTCAAACTAGTTCTTACTGGTAATAAGATTTACATTTATCTAAATTCTAAATTCTCTAAATCTGTAGCTTGTCCCAAATTCCTTGTTATAAAAAATAAATCAAACATTTCAATCAAAACGTTCAGCATCTTCCTTATCCACAAAGTACTCGTATCTATAACATCAGAACAACCTCTCTCAATCTCCTTCACCAGAGACGGTGACCTGATTATACTAACAAAAAATAATCAACAATCAACGAAATTCCTTAAAGCTTCCAAACTGTCCAATCTTTGCGACAAATCAGTTAGCCTACATCCAACACTTAGCACCGTGAAAGGTGTTACCTACTCCAGTTTTCTAACAATTGTAGATGGATTACGGGAACAAGGCGCAACCGAATCCAAAAAGATCGCAAAAATAAGAGACGGAAAATTTGTTGACACCCCCTTACATATAATTTCATTTAATAGCTATGAACTGCCAAAAAGATGTAAATGTCGCATAAGTAAAGGTGAAGGTGGAACCGTATATTCCTTCCCCAATGCAATGTAAAAACTGCTTTATAATCGGTCACACGGCAAAACACTGCAAATCCGACCCAAAATGTAACGTTGGCGCCACAGGTACTCATAAACCCATTCCATGTAAAAAGGTAGAATGAATAAACTGCAAAAAATCACACCGATCTGACAATAAAAACTGTCCGACCTTTTAGAAGAGGAAAGAAATCATTGCGTATAAAGCACTTAACAAATGCTATTTCCGCGAAGCAACGAAGGTAATTAATAAAAAACAACTAGATCTCAACAGACCACTTAAGAATTCAGAAGAAGACACCCAAAAGAAGAAATACAAACCAGCTGAACAAAAAAAAAAACACTACAAACCACTAACAATACCATCAATTCAGGCATGTCTGAAATTTCATCTCAAATTCATTTCATTGGTTTTTCACAACCAATCCACTCCACAGAAACAAAAACACAGAAACCCAATATGTAACTCTGCCCTCTCTCCACTTGAAAACTCTACATTCATCCCAACTAGTGCAACGACTAATCACTCTAACGATCATACTCTACCAGACAATATTCCAACTCTCTCAAATATACCAACAAATTTACTAAGCCAGATACTAACTCAATCAATCTCCGAATATAGAACAAATGATATTTCTTTAACAACTCAATTAACTTCACTTGATTCCACATCGTGCGAACACTTAAGCTCCGAAAATCAGCACTCAATTGAAACATAAGATTTTCTTACCTTCGAAAGACTCATCTTTCGATAGTTGAGAAATCTTTTCACTCATCCTCATTATCAAATATGGTACTTAAGGTTTTCCAATGGAATCTTAATGGCTACCGCAATAATTACA